TTTTTTTTTTTTTAAAGCCACCTTGTTTTTCTGCTTTCACACACTCGAAGTCTCAAAGTACGATATTTCTAGACCGGTTTTCTATCTGATTGTGGGTCAGATACATCCTAGAAAAGTCTTAGCATGTGTACATCTTTACAGTCATGGATAGACAGACTCTTTACTAATGGGGACGACGTTGTTCCAGTCGAGAGAGGCTGCCTATGGACAACAATTCTTGGTGAGTAGTTTCACTCCCTGTGCCCAACTTCAAGAGTCTTTCTACTCCCCATGGCCCCATGGACTCTCGTCAGTGATTCGGCCTCATCGTCGATTTCCATTGTCTAGTTGCTCAAGGGAGGTTCGTGGTAGTTCATGCTCTCTCTACCTATCCATCTCCGTAGCGACAGGCACGCAGGCCTTCCCCCTACCTTGCCCTTCCCGGTCATGGAGGGGTGCTGGGGCGCTTGTGGGAGCATGTCCGGGGGGCAATCTTACCAGTCCCTGGTCATTGCTGGTTTCGGTTCACCTCCCGTCAGCAATCCACGTCAGTCGAGGGAGATCTGGAGGGCAGCGTAGTCAATGTGGGGGCCGATTGGCTGGCGAACCTTTGATGCAGTAGCATATACCTTGTGCAACCGATCGGGGGATTTTTTTTTTTTTTTTTTTTTTTTAATTTGGACCATTTCTCGATTTATGCGTGTCATCCTTGCGCAGGGGCCATGCTAATCTACGCTGTATCGTTCCAATTTTAACGGATGTCCCGAAGGACTCGGGGAAGATCTTTCGCCTCGGTCATCGATACGACGAATTCGTTGTGGGATGTTCCCGTACCGCCGTTTTGTCGGGATCGCCCTGCGATAGGTGGCACGATTGACACGTGGCTATTGGTGATTGACTTTGCTCTTTGCAAAACTGGCAGGTTGTCTGATCGACTTCTGCAGCTGGGCTTCAGTTGGGATCGCCGTTCGGCCTTCTTCTCTGGAAGATGCTGGTTGTGTTGTGAGTGCTTGACGCGTGGCTGTTGCTGATCGACTTCTGCTCTTTGCCAGAACGGCGGCTTGCATGACTTGCTACCGGACCTTACATGGGGTCGTCATATCGGCCTTCTTCTCTGGATGTACGCTGGTTGCGAGTGCTTGTCTTCTTGCATTAAATCAGAAGCAACTATGGATCCAGGCCCATGTTAGGATAACGAGTTACGGTTACGTATTTGTTTCATCTTAATAGGCTTTATGTTCCGTAGTCATCTACAATCTTCGAGACAGAATGGTGAGCGTTGCTCCACAGGGGCTTCGTCAGGGAGGGCGAGAAGCATCCGTTAGGGAGTAGGTGCAGATTGAGGGAGAGGCTGACCCTAAATCGCAAGGAGGTGAGTGGGTTTTGCGGGGCTGTTTGGCCCCTGCCGCATGGGAGCTAGGATAATCCCCTGGATTGCAAAAACGGCATCATGGTGGGAGTTGGTGTTTTTGGTGATGGACAGTGTCGGGGAGATGCTATCTGCTCTCAATGGCGAGGAGGTGGGTGGGTATTGCAGGGTCTTTGTCTGCGGTTGGGGGCCTGTTGGCACAGACCCCTGCTGCGCGGGTTGGCAGGGGTTGGGGGTAACATAGGGTCTCGCTCCACTACTGTCCACTGTACAATTTTTCGGACAGTTGGTGGACAGTTGTCAGAGGGAAATATTGTACAGCGGACAGTGGAAAATGCAACATCGCTCCACTTACTGTCGGCTGTCCACCTCTCAAATTCGTGAGTTCACTACGGACGCAGTGATGGAACTACAAGACAGGGCGTCCAAAGGATTTTGTCCGCCGGGACGCTAGGTGCACTGTCCAAATTCGGGTCCTCACGGTGAGTCACTTGAAGGACTTTCCGCGTAACGAATTTTGCAGGCGGCTGGGAGCTGTACATTCACGGACAGTAGATTTCCGACGGGGTTTCTCCAAACTGTCCAGGCCATTTTGCACATGTACAGTGGACAGTAAGTGCAGCGAAGTACCACTGTCCGGTTTTGTACAGTGGACAGTAGTGGAGCCAGACCCATAGGGCCTCGCTCCACTACTGTCTGGTGTACGAAATGGTGGACACTTCACAGACAGCAGTCAGAGACTTCAAAATTCGGGAAAACGCTGCATCGCTCCACTTACTGGCCGCTCTGAAATTTGTGAGTTCACTACCAGACGCAGTAATAGAAGTACAAGACAGGGCAGGGCGTCCATTGGCTTTTGTCCGCCCAGACAGACTCCAGGTGCACTCTCCAAATTCGGGTCCTCACGGTGAGTCCCCTGAAGGGCTGTCCGCCTAACGAACTTTGCAGGCTGGGAGCTTTACATTCACGGACAGTCGATTTTCCGATCACTGTCCAAGCCATTTTGCACATGTACAGCAGGCAGTAAGTGCAGCCACATCCGACTGACAGTGTCCCCTTTTTTTTTTTTTTTTTTTTTTTGTTTGGGGGAAAGATTGTATTTGTATTGCAACGGACAGCCAATGTACCGAGGCCGGGGACCTCACAATTCTACCCGGAGCTATCCTGGCAGCCTCAGCCAGTTTAGCTTAAGAGCCACTCTCTATACCCTGTTTCCTACTCAAGATATATCAACCAACATCCTGGCAGCCTCAGTCACTTTTTGCACAGTTCACAGTAGTGGAGCGAGGCCCATAATTACGTAGTGTTGGCTGTTTGCTTTCTTTTTGTGATTCTTTTTTCGACTTAGGCTTTGTGGTGTGCAGTGGGCCGGTTTCTGGGCTTGACATGATGTCTCGCCCTTAAACAGGACCGTGAATTTTTTTGTGAGGGACGCCAGGCCCGATTCCTGGAATTGTAATATAAGGGATGTGGGCCCCAGTTCCCGGCTCTTCTTTTTTTTTTTTTTTTTTTCCAAAGAAAAAACATTAACATGTCAAAGTTACGTATATCATAAAAAGATTAGAGGTTTTTTAACCAGCTGGGGCAAGGTCCCCTGGAAGCACATTCTCATGTACAAGATAGGAACTTCGCGTTCAGTGAGTGAGTCACCAAACGCGAACGTTCGCGACCGAACATGAACGAGCGCCAAAACCCTCAGAACGCGAACATAAAAATAAAAATAATAATAAAAACTCTAGAAAAACATATATGTTATGTAAAATAATAATACACAAGCAACTTTTGCCTGGGAGGTATGCTCATATTCGGAACCAAACTCGAGTTAAACATCAAAAACCAAAAACAAACTTTTTTTTTTTTAATATGTTCGCCCGAACACGTTCAGGAGACGTTCGGCCGAACACCCAAACATGTTCGGACATTTGGAAAGGCTCTGAACATGCTCGGCTTGTCACGCCCGGCTGGGCACCCGGGGTGCACAAGAGGACTCCAAACTGCGCTCTTTTCGTTTTTGGAGTGTTGGCTGTCAAGGGAGGAGAAGGGGGGGGTAAATTAGTTTGAAAGGGGCTAAGGGGGTTTAAAGGGGGGTGCCTTGGTGTGATTCTGTTTTTTTTCTTTTTGAAATAACTACGGCGCAGTCAGGGTTTGAGTTTGAAAATGCACTTGTCGAGGAAGAAGGGCCGGTAATGGTGAATGTATTTGACCCAGGTTTTGGGTCGGGTGGAGTCATGTGGGGGTGTGTTGTGTTCACGGGATTGCCTGAAGTGCACTTTCAAACTGTTTCCGTGGCGCAGTGACTGTGACAAACTTACCCCTTTCCTTTTTTTATCTCCGATTCTGTGAGGAATTCTGATGTGATCATCAGCCAAAAGCCGTTTGGTTTGCATTGCAATTCTACACAACATATTTTTTCCCAAATTTTCTGTTCTTTTTTTTTTTCACAGAGAGGAGAGGGCACATGGGTAGAGAGGCGTTACAACCGAGAATCTGGATCCTGGCCGCACCTTATTGGCTGAAGGCCTCAAGCACATTTGATTTTTCTTTTCTTTTCTTTTTTCTTTTCTGACATCGCTCGAAGGAAATGTCCTCGGGCGACGTCCCCGAGCACATGTGGAAACGAAGGGCCCAAATTTCCTCCTTTCAAACCAGGAGTTTTTCCTTTTGCCCGAGGATTTCAATAGGAGTGTCTAACGAGCCCCAACAGGTAACCTTCGCCAGATGCATCACAAATGAATCACACAAGTACTCAGTCCAGCTCACCTGAAGCCCCCTGAATGCCAAATGCATCACAAATTTTTCACAATGTTTTTCAAGAGCCCACAAGGCATTGTGGCTGGGGTAAGTGGCATGGCTTCCTGAGGGCCAAATACAACGAAATACAACAAAAAAAGTTGTAAAAACAACAACAACAACAACAACAACAACAACAACAAAAGTTGTAAAACCACCTCTGGGGGGTAAGGTCCCCGTAGCTAAGAGCATTGGGTTGAACCATCTGTACTTCCTCCTTAAGGTCATGCGCAATTCCTCCTTAAGGTCATGCGCAAATACAACCTGCGATTTTAGGAAACGGAGGAAACACTACAGGAGCGGCCAAACTCCTCCGACTAGAAAGGTTTCTACTCTATTTTTTTCCTGCGCCCGATAGCTGGGCCAAGTGCTGGGGGTTTAAGCTGCTGGATCTGGATGTCTCATACGCAAAGATGTGAAAAAGCACTTCAATGATTCAATCTCATTTTTTCTGCACCTGTCCACAAATGTATCCAGATTCGGGTGCCACGACCTCGCCCCTGGATATATTCCATCGCATTCTGAGCCCTTTGTGTCATCAAACCACCAGTACTTGGCCCAGCTATCGATGCCGAGCCTGGAATGTCAAAGCGCCAGGGTACCGTTTCGGCGTTTCAATTTTTTTTTGGCTGGCGCTTCCAGCCATTGTGGTCCGGTACCCCGAAACCCTAAAGACGCGGCGCGTTATTGGGGAAGCACCGCGACCGATAGCCGGGCCAAGTACGGGTAGTTTAAACACACCAGTGCTTGGCCCAGCTATGGCCGAGGAAAAAAATAGAGTAGAAACCTTTCTGGCCGGATGACTTTGGGCGCTCCTGTCGTGACCCCTACATTTCCTAAGATCGTGGCTTGTTAACGGGCATGACTTTGGACCATTTCTGGATTTATGGGTGTCATCCTTGAAAGCGCACGGGGCCATGCTGATCTTCATTCTCTGTATCGTTGCAATTTTAACAGATCTCCCGAAGGACGGGCACAGCTTTAGGAAGTACTGGTGGTTACCAACAAAAAAAAAAAAAAAAAAAAAAAAAAAAAAAAAAAAAAAAAAAAAACAACCTGAGATGTTTGTGTTTGGGTGAGGTCTTTTCCTACCAAAGTTGGATTGAAATCAACCGTCCGAATCTGGATAGCTTTCGAGTGGAGATGAGGAAATTGGGACCAATTTCAATTTTCTGCACCTGTCCACAATCACGTCCAGATTCAGGCGTTCAATCCAATCCCCTTTGCAAGCACGACCTTGACCCTGGGGTAATTTTATAATCCTTCTCTGTTTGCTGGATTTAGCAGATGGGCAAAAAAAAAAA